TTTTTCTGGCCCTCTTGATTCTCTCCATGAGCAAGAGGTCCACTTTCAGTTCGGAGTCCCTTTTCGATAAACGAAAGAACTCCTTCCCTTTTTCTCTTTGGTTAAACCTTGTTCATGGTTATAACCGGAGTTGAAAATTCCACTTCGATAAACGAAGAACCCATTTTCAGTTTAGATAACCCATCCTATAAAAGGCAAGTTTATCTAAATTTTCCAGATTCTCGGAGTGGACACCCCACTTCTAGTTTCTTCTTCGCTGGAAATAGAATATAAAATTCTTCCTTTCCAGAATCAGGGAATAGAATATAAAATTCTTCCTTCCTTGTCTGTTGGGTTCGCCTTCACCCTAAAAGAAGACCGGGAAATAGAATATAAAATTCTTCCTTTCCCGCATCGATCTTTTCCGAAATTTATCAATTTAGGATTCATCCTAGGAAGTTTATCCCGAATCCTAAGCAGGGATAAGTCTGCGCCTAACACGCGCTGCCGGTTTAGTCTTTTTCCGCACAAAAAGACACCAGAGTCTGATTCTGGGGTATTTTATCCTGAAACCTAAGCAAGGATAAGTCTGCGCTTAACCTGCGCTGCCGGTTAGTTCTTAACCGTTAAAAAGAACACTCGTCCGCATATTCAACATTGCGGCAGGTTGTTATTAATAACACCAAAATCCATGCCTTACACGCATGGGGAATGTCATCCTGAATCCTAAGAAGGGATATGCCGACGCCTAACACGCGTCGCCGGTTTAGTCTTTCGCCGTAGAAAAAGACACCAGAATACCAGTCTGGGGTATTTTATCCCGAAACCTAAGTAGGGATAAAGTCAACACCTAACACGTGTTGCCGGGTAGCCTATTCCCGTAACAATGGCGAAGTCTATGTATTCGACATCATAGCACAAAGTCTAAGGGAGTTCATTCCTTTAGCGCAACGTTACATGCGAACGGATTTAGACAATCCGCATGCTAGCCCGACTCAAACGGTAGTCGGTAAAGGCTAATCAAACCCGTTGAAGGCTGGGGGTTAGCCAAAAATCCTAAAGTCAACACCTAACACGTGTCGCCGGGTAGCCTATTCCCGTAACAATGGCGAAGTCTATGTATTCGACATCATAGCACAAAGTCTAAGGGAGTTCATTCCTTTAGCGCAACGTTACATGCGAACGGAGTTAGACAATCCGCATGCTAGCCCGACTCAAACGGTAGTCGGTAAAGGCTAATCAAACCCGTTGATGGCTGAGGGTTTGCCAAAAATCCTATGAGTATTGTGGTCAATCATTTCAAATGGAATGACGAATCATAATAAAGATAAAGACCAGTTCCATTAAGAGAATCAAATGTCAAAGTTTTCAGCAAATAGGATCATACATCAAGCCCATGGCTAAGAACCTGCTGACTGAATTCAGACAGCTTCTCATCATAAGAGCGTCTAAGCTCCTCCTGCAACTCAGCTCTGACAGACTCTTCGTTCGCGGCTAAAGTCCTCACAGCAACCTCCTCTGTCTCAGCCAGTGTATGCTTCAAGGACTTTAGCTCATCAGATAAAGCAGCATGTGCTTGCTGATTTTGCATCTTCGCGTCTTCCTTCTCAAGGAGTTCTCGTCAGAGCTGATCTATCCGAGAATCAAGCTCCTCAAGTGAAGATGATCTGGTGGCAAGGTCAGCCTCAACTCGATCTATTCGGCCCCGCTGCACCTGAATCTCGAGCTCGGCAACCATCCGAGTACTGCGCCATGTCTGTAAGCGAGCATCCAACTCGGCAGCAACAAATGAAGAGGCACCTGCATCCCGGAGCTCATGAAACATCTGAAGCTCATGCTCTAAGCGATCAAGGTCATCAACCATAGCCGTCGCCAGATCCGGATATCCTATGTCCCTTATCAAATTTATCTTGGGATCAAGGTAGGGTTTAAACTGGCGAAGAGAAAGTCTGTCGTGGAGGAGTTTGCCAATTATAGCATTCAGGGAAGAGAAACTCAGAAAAGAGGACAAGGGGGGGCCGGCCCTAGAAAGAGAAGAAGAAAAAAAAAATGAAGAAAAAACCCCCTTTTATAGCCTTGAACCAGATCTGGCTGAACCAGACCAGACCAGGGTTGAACCAGACCAAGCCAGATTGAGCCACAATGAGCCAGAATGAGCCTTAATACTCCGAAAAGTATACGAGTATAAACTGCTTCTTAATACTCCGAAAAGTATACGAGTATAAACTGCTTCTTAATACTCCGAAAAGTATACGAGTATAAACTGCTTCTTAATACTCCGAAAAGTATACGAGTATAAACTGCTTCTTAATACTCCGAAAAGTATACGAGTATAAACTGCTTCTTAATACTCCGAAAAGTATACGAGTATAAACTGCTTCTTAATACTCCGAAAAGTATACGAGTATAAACTGCTTCTTAATACTCCGAAAAGTATACGAGTATAAACTGCTTCTTAATACTCCGAAAAGTATACGAGTATAAACTGCTTCTTAACACTCCGAAAAGTATACGAGTATAAACTGCTTCTTAATACTCCAATAAGGTATATGAGTATAAATATTCCCTATTTTTGGTTTGAGAAGTTCCTGGAGAATATTGTTTATAAATATTCTTAAGGATAACTCAACCACACTACGCCGGACAACGCGTTGTACATAAAGTGCCGACGCCACAATCGATGGTCAGCTAAAAATTAGAAATCAGGAATCGACTTCAAAGTTCAAAATTCCGACAAACGGTCAGACAATAAATGCAGCACCGGAACTCTTACAGACTTTCGACAAAGCACCGAAAAGCCTGGAGAATCGAAGGAATCAAGAACGGAAATCATTCCAAGGTCTCATTACACCGACTGAAGGTGGGAGGCAATCATATCCAAAGTATTCCAGACTCTTCTATAAAAGAACGAGACTGAAATACTTTGGAGGGGGTATCTGTAGGCATATAAAATTGCTTATAGGTCCCCTAGCATAGCTCGGCACAAACCGACGAACCAACGAGGCGACGAGATCGACGAATCGCATCAAGCGACGGAATGCATCCATACACGTGCGGGATCAAGCCAAGTGTTCGAAGAGTCAACGAGTCATCCAACCGAGAGCGGACTCGGACGAATCACGATCGAATCAAGATCAGTTTCGGACTCGAACTCAGAAGCGGATTTACTGCCAAATCAGGAATCCAATTTACTGCCAAATCAGATCATCAAATCAGAGACTAAGTTAATCAAATCACGGACAGAACCAAAGGCGGAAAACACCAAAAAACCACCACCTAGAGGGGCTCGGCCGAAGCCGAGCCAACTTCAGGTGGCTCGGCCCAAGCTATCTTCGAGACCCTTCTCGGAAACAACAAAATCAAACTCCCGCCCATCACGCATCAGGAGGAAGATGACGATTCTGCGGATCCAACGTACT